TGTGCCAGCAAATACATCTGCATATTGTTTGATAATACATGATAAAGTGTTTGAGTACAATCCTTTGTCAAATGAGATAAATAAAATGTAAATAAAAGATGAAAAACATTCAACAAGAATTGGTTGACTCTGCAAATCAAATACGAGAGAAATATAGAGCTTTAAAACGTGGCAAGTTTCTAGAGGCTGAAGAGAGGTTCCAAACATTCCAACCTTTAATAGAGCCATTACAAGAATTAAAGAAAATCACATCAGAGAGACCTCGAATGGAGATACTCCCAATGACTCCATCTAGAATATCAATGATACCAAGATTACAATCATTACAACCATTACAACCATCCACCCCACAGAAATTAGATTTTGGTCTTTTAGCATCAGACTATTTAGGAAATTACCTCAGTAAAAGTAGTATGACAGACACTACATATGGTATTAGACGAGAAGCAAATAAATTTTTTATTGGAAATAAGGAAGTTGATATTGCCAATGATGATGTTACAGTTGCAAATAAAACCTACAAGGGGACAAAAGGTTTGTGGGAATTGTTGACTTTAAAAGAACCTGAGGATTATACTCCGGCTGATTTGCTAAATTATAAAGAGATTTTAGAAGCTACAAATGGACATTTAAAGAGTTACAAAGATGGTGCACCAATTTCAAGTAATAGACATACTAAATATCTTAATATAATTAAACCTCTATTTAGATCTGTTGGTGAAGGTTTGAGACAAGTGACTGGTAATAAAATAGACTATATTTATTGGGATGATCCTAATGAGCTTGTAGATAGGTTAAGACTTCTTTGGCTAAGTCGCCAAGCCGGTAACTCAGGAGTGGATAATGAAATAGATTCCATTATTGAGGAATTGAGAGAAAGTGGAATTATTTATTAAATAAAAATATGTTTATAGATAAATTTTATCGTTTATATAATCCATATAATAAGCCTGCAGAACCCAGGGCTAGTCATGAACCTACTTTAAATTTACAAGACGATAGTTGGAATGGTTTAAACCGTAAAATTGGTAATGTTAAAGATGGGGAGTTTGTAGATGATGTATCAACTTTGGGACAGACATTAACTAGAAAAGGTGATGTCTTTTTACAAGGTAAAACTAAATATGAGTTTTTAGAATCTAAGAATAAAAATTGGAACGCTAAAAAACAGAAAATTACTAATGTGGAAAAGGGTGAAAGTTTAGATGATGTGCCCACTTTACAACAGACTTTAATACGAACAGATGGTGGTACATTTGTACAAGACAATAAAAATTATGAATTTTTAGAATCAGAGAATGGTGTTTGGAATGCTAAGAAACGGAAAATTACTAATGTAGAAAAGGGTGAAAGTTTAGATGATGTACCCACTTTACAACAGACTTTAATACGAAAAGAAGATGGTAAATTTGTACAAGACGATAATAATTATGAATTTTTAGAATCAGAGAATGGTGTTTGGAATGCAAAGAAACAGAAACTTAGCAATTTAATGGAAGGTACAGATAGTAAAGATGCTGTAAATGTTTCACAAGTTCCAAAAATGGAAGCAGGCTATTGGAGTTTTTATAATAAAAGGTTAGTACGTGTTAAACCTGCCATTGATGAAACTGACTGTGTTATAAAAGAACAGACTATAACTTTTGATAAAAAAGAAAAAATGTTGGGATGCCAAAAAACAATTTATAAGGAATCTACCAGAGGGGGAACATTCGGATGATATTTGTCTAATGTCACAATCTATGCATTACGATGGATCAAAATTTGTATATGGAGAAAAAAATTTTAATTTGATGGAATATAATCCTGATTTATTAGTTGCTGACCCCACATCTTTGAGTGGATTTAAGTATATAGATAATAGACCATATATACCAGAAAACTATGTATTTAAAAGAATGGAAGATAATCTATTGATTGGGGCTAATGGTGATGTATTTAGAGTTACAGGAAAGGATGATGTTATAAAAAATGAATGAAATTGCATACGAACTTCATAAGCCTGCAAGAAAGAATTTCATTAGAAGGTCTTTTAAAGTATTGGGTATAAACGAAACCATACAAATAGATTTAATTGATATGCAAAACTATGCTAGAGAAAATTCTGGCAATAAATATATTTTAACTTTAATAGATACATTTTCTAAAAAAGCTTATGCTGCTCCACTAAAGAATAAGACAGGGTTGGTGGTTACAGAAGCCATTAAAACCATTCTACCAAAGGGGGTTAAAAACATTCAATCTGACAATGGAAAAGAATTTTTTAATCAATATTTTAGCAAACTAATGAAAAACTTAAATATTAATCACTATCACACTTTTTCTACAACTAAGGCTGCAATTGTGGAGAGGTTTCAGAGAACTTTAAAGAATTGGTTATATAGGGAATTTAGTGCTCAGGGAAGTTATAAATGGTTGGATTTACTTCCAAAGTTAATTCGAAAATATAATAATAAGGTGCATAGATCTATAGGTATGAAGCCTAACCAAGTGAATATTAAGAATAGTAAATATGTGCATAAGAGGTTGCATGAAAGGACTTCTAAAGTAGTGCAGGTTAAAAAGCCTAGATATAAGGTAGGTGATAGCGTGAGAATTTCCAAGTATAAACATGTGTTTAGTAAAGGATATACCCCAAATTGGACAGGGGAGTTATTTACAATAGCAGAAGTTAAGAATACAAAGCCTGTGACTTATATCTTGAAAGATGAAAATGGTAATATCATCAGAGGAGGATTCTATACAGAGGAGTTGTTAAAGACCAAATATAAAGACATGTATTTGGTAGAGAAGGTAATTAGGAGAAAGGGTGATTTATTGTATGTCAAATGGCTTGGGTTCCCAAGTAGTCAGAATTCATGGATTTCCACTAAGGATGTCCAAGGGAGCGCGCACACGGCCGGAAGCACGCCCGCGCCATGAGCCGGGAGCGCGCCCGAGTTCGCGTACAAACCTCGCATGATTTTGAGAATATACATGTGAATGGATATGGATTTGAAATAGTAATAGTGTTATACAATGGTATTGAACATTTATATAGGCTTGTATTGGCCGAGAGCTGGATTTTTAAAAAAGTGGTCAAAAAAAGCTCCCCATGTTATTCTTATGGGGAAAACGTGCCTAAAGTGATGTCATATTGCCATATTGCCTCTACTCTACATTTACACTTGTAAGGGTCAATAAATATAAGAAATAGCTTTTTTAGCTTAATATCGAATATATTTATGGGGAATAAGTAAGAAATAAGGTTTGACAATTATATAGGGATATTTAGGCAAAGATCAGGATTTTTGGTTTTAGTGGCCAAAAAATGATCCCATGTTATTTCTTATGGGAAAACGTGCCCCAAGTGCCGTTAAACCGGTAGTTCTCCACTACTGAGAGAGAGAGAGATATTTGATAAGGAATCTGAAAAGTAAACAAATAATCGTTTCTGGCGTTTGTCATGGTGTACCCCTCCCCCCCGTATTAGCACTCGTGACCACTTTTTGTTGCTTCCTTAATCTTTCATCCGTCCCAAAATAGAATTCCTGTAATGGTTTGTTTGTAAAATTAAAATTATTATAAACATCTTTTATCTATCGAGTGTAGTTCCGTAGTTATTCTTATCAGATAGAATAATATCGTTGCCACATGTAATAGTTCCTCCTTCGCGTTACGCAATAGCGTAAAAAAACAGTTTCCGTATCTCGGAGAAGATTCACGTATATTTCCCGAGATAAAGAAAATCCGTATAATTCCCGATCTTCCCGGTCCGTGGACACACTGTAAATATTGTACGTCAATAAAGGAGATATTGACTAAAATTTCTACTGAAGGTGAAAAAAATAAAACTTAAAATTTGGGATGATGACCGGGTAGGTTTTTAAGATTCAACCATTTATAATTAATTAATATTCGTAGTTCCTTATTAGAGGTGCATCATCTTTATTTGGAATATGAACATGTTTAAACATTAACACGTATTTAATCACTATCCCAACATCAATAGTAACAAGGAGTAAACGAAGGTTACCGACCGCTGGGTGTTTAACCGCTACAAAGTAGGCGAGGAGGGTGCCGTACTGGCTACACTACTCCACGACAGAACACACGATGAGACAGTCTTCGCATTGGTATTGCAGTTACGCTTATCGACACAGGCAGCAGCACCGGTTAAGCTGTTTTCAAACGTATAAAGTGCACGGGAAGCCATACCTGACTGGCTTTTGGGAGAGCTGACTGGCTTTCGGGCGGGTGACTGCCACACCGAGTAAATTACCAGCGCAGTGACTGCCACTCCGGGTGGGTACAAAAGTATATATATATATATATATATATATATATATCTTACTAATATTATATATATATATATATATATATATATATATATATACTAGAGAGAACCCGTGCGGCTCAATGAGCCGCATAGTATGAAACATAACGCCGAGGAGAGCGTTATGCTTAAATTCAAGTAATTCTAGTTACATCTTAGAGTTGTTTGAAATCTTGTTAGAAACTAATTTTAAATACCTCTATTTGCGTCGTCAAGGTTCACCTACATTATTTCTGCTCTCAGTTTTAACTGATAACTTCTAATGAATGCTACACATTCTGCTTAAATTCGAGTTAACATGTTGCAACAAAGTTTTTCCAGCATTGAGAATTGAAGAAAACTTTTGCCTTACTGATAACCCGTGTTAAGTAATTTAAGTTGGGTCATTTTATTTATTTTATTTGAGACATCCCCCTAAACCAAGGATTTTTTTTATAGAACCCCGAAAAGTGTGGTGGTATCATTGGTATCAATCATTTCATGTGCTCCATTTTTATTATGTACTTTAACTAATTTAATACAATTAAATTGTGCACATAATGTTGACTGTGTAGTGTATATTTTTTACTAAATAACTTCACATAAACATAAATAAAAACAACCACAAATAATTAACTGATCAGCTGGATTAAATAGGGACAGTCTTTGGAAATATGTATCAACTCTCCCGCCTAAATTTCACATTTTAGAAGCTGATCGATATGCCTCCTCCACACAGTTCCGTCTTCCATTTTGACTTGGTATAAGAGGGTACCTTCTCTTCCAATGATAGTTCCAAAGCACCATTTCCGTTTAGGACTTGAGTAGTCTCTAGCCTGTACACTGTCCCCCACTTGAAATTGTCTGCGCACAGCCATTGCACTTCTTGCTGACTTGTTACATTGAGGAAGCAATAATCCTAAGTGCGTTCTTATCTCTCTTCCATACATTAAACTGTAAGCATTTGACCCGGTTGAGTTAGGGGATTGACGAAGTTGCATGAGAAGCCTATATAATTTAAGATCTAGTTTACCTCCTTCTTCTTCCATGGCCTTTAATGATTTCTTTATTGTTTGAACATATCGTTCGGCTTGCCCGTTCGAGGAAGGATGGTACGGTGCAGTAATTTTGTGCACCACACCATTAGCAGACAAGAACTGACGGAATGTGCTAGAAGTAAATTGACTCCCATTGTCTGATACTAGAACTAAAGGCAGACCGAATGTAGCAAAAGTTTTCCGAAGTTCCCTGATACACCATTCTGTAGACGTGTTTTTAGTTGGGATCACTTCAATCCATTTGGTGAATGCGTCTACAATAATGAAATACCATTGTCCTTGCATTGGGCCAGCAAAGTCTATGTGTACTCTTTCCCAAGGTCCTTGAGGAGTCAGCCATGGATGATTGGGTTCTTTAGCAGGTTGGTTTTGTTTTAAGCGGCATTGTTTACAGGTGCGTACCAGTTGTTCAATGTCCTTGTCGATGTTTCTCCATGTGCAATAGCTTCTAGCAAGAGCTTTCATTTTATCCATACCTAGATGTCCAACGTGTAGTTCTTGAAGCACAGCATGGTGAAGAACTTCTGGTATTATTACCCTTAAATATACATCCATCTTGCAGCGTCAATTCATTGTCATGAAAACCCAGATGTTCAACAGACTCCCCTGTCTGAAGGGCACGTAGCACTGATTGTAGGAACTTATCTTCAGCAGTTTTTCTAGATATGATTTGACTGTCTACTAGAAACGAGTCCAGCTGGCTGATTTGAAATAGACTACAGTCATCCACATGATGGATTGAAGTGTGTTCAGTTGGGAATCGTGATAAAAAATCAACATTCGCATGGTCTGTAGTTTTCCTATATTCGATTTGATAGTTGAATCCAGATAAGAAGTGTGCGTAATTGAACAGCCTCGTTGCTGAGATTGATGGCAAAGTCTTGTTTGGATGAAATATTGATACTAACGGTTTGTGATCAGTCACTAGAATGAACTTACGTCCGTAACAATAGGGGAAAAACTTTTTGAGGCCCCAGTATATATATACCTGTTGCTTCTTTGTCAATCTGACTGTATTTTTGTTCACATTTAGTCAGAGTACGTGAAGCAAAACTAATAGGCCTTTCAGTTCCATCACTGTATCTGTGAGAGAGAATGGCCCCAAGGCCCACCGGTGACGCGTCTGTTGCAAGCACTAAGGGAAGATCTGGATCATAGTGAACAAGTACATTGTCACTAGTTATCTCTGATTTAACTTTCTGGAAACTCTCTTCACATTTAGTTGTCCATATGTACTTTTTCCCATTCCGTAGCAGTTCATTAAGTGGGTAAAGGATTGTGGCCAAACTTTTAATGAACTTATTATAGTAGTTAGCCAATCCCAGGAACTTTCTCAATTCATTTACATTTTCTGGCTGTTTGCTGTTCATGATGGCAGAAATTTTTTCCTTTGTTTTGTGTAGTCCTTGAGCATCAATGGTGTGTCCCAAATATTGGATACTTGTTTGAAAGAATTTGCACTTGTCTCTGTTTAGTCTTAAGTTTTTGGATCTCATTCGCTCTAGTACAGTCCGTAGTCTGGTTAGTAACTCTTCTTCTGTCTTACCTTGAATAATGATGTCATCGAAAAAGCACTGTACACCAGGAATCCCCTGTAAGGTTTTGTCCATAAACTGCTGCCAAAGGGAAGGTGCTACTTTGACTCCAAACATTAAGCGATTTACTTTGTACATCCCTTTATGCGTGCTAAGTGTTTGCATATGAGCACTTTCTTCATCCATTCTCATATGAAGGTAGGCATTAGAAATGTCCAAGGTGCAAAATAGTTTGCCTCCATTCATTTGGGTGTAAATGTCCTCAACTCTAGGAATAGGATAGTTTTCATCCTTGATCAATTTGTTCACTGTGACCTTGTAATCAGCACAAATGCGCACTTGACCATTTGGCTTGACAACAGGCACGATGGGGGTACCCCAGTCTGAGTGATCTACTTTGGTTATTATTCCACATTCTTCTAGTCTCTTGAGTTCCTTTTCAATTTCACTCCTTAGAGAATATGGCACTTGTCTTGGCTTCACAAATATCGGTTTTGCGTCATCCATGACCCTTAATTGTCCTAAATGATCAGGTATGACTCAAATTTTTCCATCGAATACATCACTAAAGTCGCTCAACATGTTTCCTAGACTTGATGTCTGATTCATTTCTAGACTTTTTATTTCACCCTAATCTAATTTTACTTCCCTAAGCCAATCTCTACCAAATATTGCATCGACATTTTGTTCGATCAAAAATAGTTTCCCGACAAATCTTTGCGTTTTGTACATGCAATTCACAAACCTTACACCTCTTGGCTTAATAGTTTCCCCTGTGTATGTACGAAGTTCAACGTTGGTTGAAAATACCTTTTGTGGAATTGACAACTTCTTAAAGTCTTTGTAGGACATAGTGCTGAGGGCTGCACCCGTGTCTAGTTCCATTGGTACTGTTTTGCCCTCAATGTTTACGATAAAATTGTCATTGCTTCTACTGTTGATGACATTAATGTGAAACTCATTCTCACTACTTTCTTCAGTTTCATATTCTGTTTGATGATTTCTGTACTTTGTTTGCATCTGCCTTTTTGTTTGCATGCATACACTCGCAATGTGTCCCACTTTGTTACACCTTCGACACGTCGCTTCCTGAAAACGACACTCATGTGCCCGATGAGATGGTGAACCACAGCGATAGCATTTTCCTTTGAGCTTTTCAAAAGCTGTTTTGAAATTAGGGCTGTTCGGTGAGGATTTCAGTTGTGTTGGCTTCACACTTTTTTCGTTATTATTTTTATACTTAATCTGATTCAATTCACTTTGTTCCAACGTATTATGGCTTACAGTCTTACTTTCTGATTTTGCAAGTTCCATTGCTGAAGCTATGTTCACTAAATCTTGATACATTCGTTTTTCCTGATCTTGTAATAGTTTAGTTCGAATGTCTACATCTTTCAACCCCCGGATAAACTGTAGTTTTAGAAATAGATCTGCAACAGATTTACCACAGCAACAATGAAATTCACAATTTACAGTCATCTTCTTAAGAGCAACTGAAAACTCATTCACTGTTTCATGTTCCATTTGATTCCGCGAAATAAATTTCTGTTGTAAAGCCCATTGGCTTGGCTGAGGATCCACGAATTCTTTCAAGAGCTGCACTAAGTCATCATATTGTTTGTCCAAAGGGTCCTCAGGAGTACAAACATCATAGAGTTGTTGATGTAGTTGAGGTGTTAGGGCATGTAGTAGTGTATATACTTTACCTTTATTATCAGGTTCTTGGTTATTCAGATACAAAAATACTTCCAGTCTTCTTATGAAGTTTGTGATAGTTTCTTCGGGGTGATATGGTGTGAAATTAATTCTCCCTGATGTGTTACATACATGTGTATTGGGTGATGAAGATGAAAAGGTGTTAGAGTTTTTCTGTTCAAAAGCTAGCATCATTTCTTGAAGTGTAGTTGTAATCTGTAAATATTCATCTTCCATATTGCATCTGCATTCAATTTCTCTACTAAGCTCATCCAAATCTGTGTGTGAATCTATTTCATCTTGTATTTGTTTGTACTTTGTCCAGTATTCGGTAACAGTTTTGAGCTTTACATTTAGTTCTGTCGCCGTTGGGTTGCCTTTTAATAATCTGTTTGCTCGTGTAAATTGGCCTTTGACCACCGTTCTTGCTTTGATTAGTTTCTGTAGTGTCTGTTCTTCAGTCATTTTGTTTTCCTCGTCGCCAATATTATGTACTTTAACTAATTTAATACAATTAAATTGTGCACATAATGTTGACTGTGTAGTGTATATTTTTTACTAAATAACTTCACATAAACATAAATAAAAACAACCACAAATAATTAACTGATCAGCTGGATTAAATAGGGACAGTCTTTGGAAATATGTATCAATTTTTTACCCACAAACTCCGGGTTACCAACTGGAGAGCCATAATCTGCTTTGAATAGGCTAAAGCAGCAACACCATTGAAAGTTGGTTAACGTATTTTAACGTGTTGTCTATCAGTCTCAGTATATGCCCCATATCAGAACGTTCTTTCTTATATTGTTCATTGGAGTTTCTTGGTACTGTCCCAAAGTTTTGTAAGTATAGATTCATTTGTCGAAATAGGTTGGATTTAACTCTTGTAGCTATAAGATTTGGATAGCAATTTTTACTTTCTCTTTTTGAACAGCGTACGGTATTTTATTTGCCTTAGAATCATAAAAATAAACTTGACCGTCCCTACTCGATCGTTGAATACATAAACACTAATTCCTTCACTTATGTTAGGTCCAATATTGCCACTAAAACTTTCAATAGCAAATCGGTTTTTTAAACTTGTTTTTGACTTGAAATGTCTGGATTGTGTTGGTGAATTCAGTCAAAAAAATTGTATAAGTTTGTCCGAGGAACTGACAACTTAACCGAGAAGTAAACAATCCATTTGAGATTTTTCTCAATTGAAGTAGAGCGAGTAATACAAAAGTTTACAATAAAAACATAATGTCCGCCAAGATTTGGTATAATCTTACTACTTAAACATAGTCATAGTCAAGGCATTATTAGTTTCTAATAAATGTTTTGAAATATCTCGATCTGTCAGTGTCAGAAGTAAACATTTATTGCATGCATTCATTTGATCTGACATTAGGCAATTTAATTTACCACCGTGACAACACTATGTGCTTCGTATATTTTTTCACTTCCAAAGTAAGTTGCATAGCAGATCTGGCAAATATTATTCATCTCACCAAGTGAATGTGTATCTGGATGGGTATCTGTTACTGTTAGACCAGGCCTCTCTTTTTCTACTCTCCTCATACGCGTAAGATATCTTATTATTAATTGTGTCATCCACCCGTTAAAAAAATTCTTCTTTGAACTTCTTCCAACAAAAGTGAATAACTGTTTAACTTGGCCTCAAACTACTAAATATTGCAAACATTAATAGCCTATTTACTCCCAAAAAGCTAATGAGTTTCTTTTTATAAACAGCTGTTTTTTGTTTTTAAATTTGTTCTATGTATTTCTTATGGAGAAAACTCGACCTTTGAGAGGGTCTCACGCCCTTAAGAGTAGGAACTTGAAAATTCTAAAACCTTATTGCAAAACTACATATTGAGACGAATCTTTTGACACCTTAAACGTTGAAATTGGTCCACAAATAAGGGAGGAGTTGCGTTAACAAAAAACGGCTTCACGTATTATATATATAGATAGATATATATATATATAATATGCATATATAAAAATTTGAACGAATGGTGTTTTTGGCATCTGGGGACATCAAAATGAAAAAGTAAATCGGTCCCAGGCCTAGGTCTTACCATGAGACCTACGGTAATAGCTACTTCCCTATACAACAGTTCAAGATAATTTAAAATGGAATAACCACTGTGACCATTTATATGCTAAACTAGATAAAGCTATATTTAATCTTGAATTATTAGAAGAATTTGCGATGACATTTGACTAAACATTCATTATTCAAGTGATGTTAACTAGAATATGTAAAACGGGGCAAGTGAAGAAACAACACCTTAGGAGCAACATTGTTGAGAATGGTCCAAAGTCAAAGGAAAGGAGTAACGTTGTTGATCATGCTGTAACTAGCTATAGTGTGACACGAACTCTTTGGGAGGAATACAGGACATTCATTCAATCGGAAAGCAGGCAACTTTTACCCGATACTTAATCTTAACATCTTACTCAATAACCAGATCGTAAGGATGCAGTTTGACACAGGTAGCTGCGCATCAATCATCTCAGATCATACTTGGAAACAGATAGGAAAACCAGACCTTTTGTTAAGTAAGCAGAATTTTACTTCATTTACGGGTCATTGTGTTAAACTTCTTGGTGAAGTGGATGTAGAAGTTGCTTTCGCAAACGTTAAAACCAAACTCAGAGCTTTTGTAGCTTCGGGTGTCAAACAAAATATTTTGGGAAGAGATTGGATTTTACCTTTATTTCTCCACAAAATATCACTTTCCGATTTGCAAAGGATGTGTTTAGAACCGTATAAACAAACCTTGCAAGTAGAAAACACTGATCAACAACTTGCTAAACTTGTAGATGAGTTTTCTCATGATTGAGGTCTCAAATTGAAGACATGCACGTAAAGATTTTACATCAAGCATCGGCATATATTTACCTACTGTATTACTCGACCAAAAAACATAATATGATTCATTTTCGAATTCTTACTTCATTTTATAATGTATTTCACCAGTTATAATTATATAATCCTACATATTTTGGTCTAAGAACCTTCAGTGAAATACAGGACATTCATTCAATCGGAAAGCAGGCAACTTTTTACCCGATACTTAATCTTAACATCTTACTCAATAACCAGATCGTAAGGATGCAGTTTGACACAGGTAGCTGCGCATCAATCATCTCAGATCATACTTGGAAACAGATAGGAAAACCAGACCTTTTGTTAAGTAAGCAGAATTTTACTTCATTTACGGGTCATTCATGGCTTTCATTTAAGCTATTAGTTATTCAAATTGGACGAGTTTCAAGCAAAATAGGGGAACAACCAACATAAAAATTATTTTTCATTTCGTTTTTCTATGATTATATAAATTAATAGCTCCAGTATTGTTCATGTTTTTATATGTTTTAAACTCAAAATAATCATTAAATTATAGGCTTTAATTTGAGCTATTGATCGTTTAAATCAGTTAAGCTCAAGATACTGTAGTACTCAATCAAAAATCATAAATTTGATTATTTCTCGGATATTATATTTATTATAACGCTGCGGAGCAGCATGGGTCCTCTAGTTCAATTTTATTTTCCTGGATATCAAGAGTAGTTTGGATACTACTTGGGTAGTAAGTTAGGGATGTGATTTTTTACGTAAAAATTTTTTATGGTTTGTGAGGTTTGACAAAATTGTTCTCTAAAAACAAATTGATAAATATATCAATTTGTGTGTTTTTTGAAACAGTAACTATTCTGATTAAGTAGTACTTAGTATTTTTTTGTTTTTCGTAGTTTCATCAATTTATAATGAAACCATGTGTATAAAATTTGAACAATCATATTATTATTAAAAACAGTGGCACACAACCTTAACGCTTTACCTTATAAATTCTAATAGAAATATATTTGCTATCATTAAGGTCCTTTGCGGTTTTTGTGTTTTCCTTCTTAAAACTTCAGCTGTTAGTGTGAGGGTTGGGGATTGGCAGAGTCAGGGGTCGGTAGACATTGGTTGCAATCAATAAATTAGAGAAAGCACAATTACATACAAGTTGATAATTGTGCCGGTTGACAATTTTCTTTTGATGTTCTAAAATTAGTGGTATTTTTGCTAGTTTTGCTGGTATTTAAAGAGCTAGCTGGCTTAGTGGTGATGGACGGGACTTGGGTCTCCAATTTTTCGATTACAAATCCCACCAATCATCAATGGATTAAATGCTAAGTGAAAATATCTAAAAAAAAAAAATTAAAAAAAATAAATATCTAAATAAATAAGTAAATATCTAAGTGAAAATGCTGCAACCCTCTGGGCCTAGCCTGAACTATGTGTAGCAAACGGGTCTTGGCCATTGAGAATGCAAGAGGGGACAGATAATGCTAATAGTTGTTACTGATTTGGTGACGTAGTTTGGATCGTGGTAGTGCCTCTGAACACCTTTAAATCATTTAGGATTCAAAATGCATTGTAAAGCAATGGAACTACGACCAAACAGACAAATTATTTCATCAACAAAGACGATATATCATAACCTACAATAAAAACAGTATTAAAAAACAACAAAATTGACTTACCGACATGCTCGAGGTAGTTAAAGCCGCTGACGCTACTCTGCAACAGCGCTGTTCAGGTAACCGTAGCACCCATTGAGTGTATACTTTAGTATGTGTATACTCAATGCTAGAGCCTATGTTTTAGGATGTGAAGGTGGGAAAAAAAACGCTGTTTTAGAAGATGAGCAATCGGGCACCGCACAAAAGTGTTTAATATAAGAAATGTGCTTGTAAGTAGTTCACAGAAGGTTGAACGCATGTATAGGACAGAGCTAGCACAAGGGTCCTTCAAATCTGGATGAAGCAGTGATACAAATTTTTATTTGTAACTTTGCGAGAGATTGACAAACTGACAGATGACTACTCCAAGGCTACCTTGGACAAGGGTAAACCCCAATTTTCCCTTGTTGATTACAACTAATACAACAAGACTGAGCTAGAATAGTGGTGGGAAACGTACAAAACACAGAGTGGTTGGCAGATTTAAACTAGGTTGGCCCTAGCTCGATCCCATCTAAAAGCAAAGTTTAGACATCAATTTACAGACAACCCTTGTAAGCTTGGAGGTAATTCTCTTTAGCTGAATTGTTGAAAACTTCAGTAGACCTAATTCATCCAGGTATTCATTTTGTATGTTTATAGGTCATAAAACCACGAACTGGAATTGTGGGTATCGAGAGGAGTATACAAGAAAAACACAAGCAAACAGACAAAAATATTTCTGCAGCATTTCAAGACCTCAGCAAACTGATGACAATGGCAAAGGACATGGTGCATTTAGCCAAAAACATTTCTGATAAAATCAGGGTAAGATAACACTTATAATTGGCCTGCTATTTGTTTTCAAGGAATGTCTCCGTTTAAGCAGTTGCATGTAATAATTTAGAAAGGTAAATGCTTGATTTCTTGAAGAGAAGGTTATGGTACCCATCCTCTCATTCCCCCTTTACTACTTTTCTTTTTCATGCTCTTAGAGACAGTCTTTCTTTGTGTTAAGTGTAAAGAAAACCATATTAATTATTGAAGAACTTTGAAACTAAGGATTTTATCTGGGGATAATGAAGTAGGCCTAACAAAAATAAGGTAGGTATAAAGAATCAGGTTGATACAAATTTAGAAGTTTTAAAAACAATTTAAATCGCTTAAAACAAACCCAAAAAATGCTGCTAAACAGTTCAGAATTATTATTTGTATAATAAATTGCTCTTACAAAAATTCTAAAATTATTTTTGGACATAAAGGCTTTATGAAGAAGATTGGTTCACTCCAAGTAGCAGAAAAACAAGAAAAAAGTTGTTTTGATATCAATTTTAAACTTATATTAAAACTGTTATTAATATGAGTATAGTTGACAACCGGCACATTTTAAAATAGTTCAAACATTGTTTTACAACTATATTGCAACAATTTTACAACAATTTAAAAACTGTTTTTAAAACAATTTTAAAATTGACTTTGCAACAAGTTAAAAATTGTTTTCACATAGGACCAACCATCCTATCGGCATATCCTACATAAACACAAAATAATAAAGATTTTTTATGAAATGCATATATATCAGTTGAGCATTTTGATTAAATAGTTCATAAAAACAAATTTTGAGAAAAAACTAGAATAAAAATTATCTTCCAGTTTGTGAACCCCTTACCTTACCTCTGAGCTATCTGTGGTTGTTGATATTTCACGTTTTAAATCGGTCAAAGAGGAGCGGACAGTTGCAATGGTTGCAATACTTAATATTTTTGATACTTATGATTATGTTACCGGTACCTATTTGAATATATAGATGAATTAATTAACATTGCTAATGTTATTATAATTATTGTTATATGATTAATTCATCCCCCCCCCCTTAAATTGTTCAACTACTAAAATTTTGCTCAAATAACTGAAAAATACCCCCGTCGCAGCAAAACTGCAGACTAAGCGAATTTCCATTTGCCTGATTGGATTTACACTAAAATGTCTACTTAAAAATATAACATGTATTCCCTATTTAAATAGAATTAGTTTAACAAGTACTTAGATTTGCTGCATCAGGGAGGGTAAAACTGTTTTTTTTTTTTTTTGTAAAATGTTAATTGTTAGTAAGAAATAAAAACATTTTCCAAATTTGATCAAAATATGTTCTTAAACAAGCAAACTACAACAGTTTACTTATTCTCCATAAGAATAACATGGGAATTTTAAATTTAAAATTTTTTGGAATTTTCTCCGTAACCATTAGGCGCATAATAACGCTTCAATATACTAAATTATTGGTTTTTTTAAGCTCTACAAAATGGTTTGGAAATAAATTGCTAAATTTTATGTTTTTTGGGTCAAAAATGGGAAAAACCTATTTTTACCCCATAAAACCCCCCGTAAACCCCCGTTCCCATAGTCCGATCATGCTGGTTCGCAAACTCGTTCGAATAAATGTAGGTTTACACGTTTAAACCAAATTTCATCAAAATCGGATCATTTTTGCTCGAGTTATCGTGCTAACGGACACACACACACACATATATATATATAGATATGAAGAACGTTAGATCGGTTCTCATTTGGTATACTCGACGTATAATAGGATCTCACGGCTGAGATCGAAAACGACAACAGCTTTTGAATCTCATTTTATATAGGACCACCAATAGGTTTTCAACTGCACAAAAATGGCGGCGATCGCATCATTCGGTGCTCATGTTTTCACTAGAGGATTTGTATGAAGACGCGGTATTTCGATCTCAATGTATACCGACACGCCATTTGAAACTCATTGCTTTCTGTTACGTAATCATTGCTTTTTATTTATATACACCCACCAATGGAGACTCCCTGTATCGATTGCATTTTAAATCTCATTTCTAGAAATGTTTACAAAAATGAAGATCATCGTAACTCTGTTTTATAATTATTTATGTTTCATAAGCTCTAACTGAGTGTAATATTGACTTGCAAAATTGAAAATATTATATTTTACCTAAAGGTGCTAGTCGGAGAACGAACGAGGATTGTTTTTATTTGCGAATGCCGTACTATATTATTTTAACAAACTATTTTACCAAAAATATGTTGTCCATTTTGCTATCATCTTATGGATATGAACTAAACGAGTGTTAAATATTCCACAATTATTTACTTAAACCACTGTTGTTGATTTGGTCGACGATTTAAAATTTCCAACAACTACTCTAGGATATTCTTGAACTGTAATCGTGTCGTTTTCACATGGTGCGCTAGCTTACGATGTACTATAATTTCATAATTTTAACTGATACCAACCAACTCATGTCTTGACACGACTATATATGTGTCATCATTAAAAAATATGCTATACACATGTTTCTTAAATGTAAACTTGATTGCCAGCACTAAATGACTTCGTCCAATAGTACATATTTATTGTATATTTACATGAGATTATATATTAGTATTATTTAGGGCCTAGTTACTTATCCTCGGAGACTTAGCGGGTCGACCGTGCATACGACCTTCGGCCTAACATAAGGTCTCGAGCGGTCTGTCCGGTGAGCCAAAGTCTCTCGGACAGATTTCAAAAAGATGTTGTGAACTTCGGACAGATTTCATAAAGGTATTGAGTGAGATTCGTTCTCGTCCCGGTTCATCTCGGCGTGACACACTGGACAGCGGTAGCAACGAAAATACGGAGCCGGTGATGTCTTCAGAACGGAGCACACACGTCTCTGATAATTCCGTTTTTCTGTAAAGAATACAGAATAATGTTTTTGTCATGTACTCTTTCAGGTATCAAGTAGCAGTGGGTTAAGAATGAGGTATTTTTTATTTTTACACACTCTTATTATCATCGTCTGGATTCGATTGTACAATCAATCCCATTTGAAAAAAAATCACTTGCCACGGATGTCCTAAAAAGGATATCAGGACTCAGGAGGTTTTATTGTATAATGGTTATTGTAATATAATTAATCTATTTAATAATATCATCGTCATTATCATAATGGCAATTATCTGTTTGAGTGAAATCGTTTCAAGCCTGCCTTAAGAAGACAGAAATCTGTTCCCGTGTCGTATCTATTTTGTTTCCTAGATTACAAAAAAAAAAAAAAAAAAAAATATATATAAACAATCTTATGGGCATGGTTTTGAGTGCTTAATGCTTACAATCCATTTTTATCACAAGTGGGCTCCAAATACATTGGAATGTCTAATGTAAATATAGTGAGACTTGATTGGTAACACAATTATTACCAAACGCGACCCTTCGCAATCCCAACCACCCGTGCACACGACCTTGCGAAACCCGATATTCTGCGGCTGGATTCTTCGTGTACCCCACCATTCACTATCACTCATCAGCGAAATCGCATTTTTTGTACATCCGAACATTCGAAAAATGTCTTCTGTGTTGGTATTAATAATCTAGCAAGAATGACATTTGTTCGGGTTTCCGATTAATAGTTTCGGCAATTGGCGGGTATTGTCGGGAAAGGTCGTTATTGATCGATCGCGTTCGGGTAAGTTCGTGATTGATCGATCGCGTTCGGGTAAGTTCGTGATTGATCGATCGCGTTCGGGTAAGTTCGTGATTGATCGATCGCGTTCGGGTAAGTTCGTGATTGGTCGATGGTGTTCGGCTATTTCCGCCAAAATTGTATATAAATGAGCACGTATAGCTTGGCAGCAAATCAGTCTCACCCCCAGCAAACGGATTAGTTAGTGGAAAGTTGGTGCAACTGACTTCAAAACTGAAAACAGCAACGATGGATGAAAATACTGTAAGTAATATTATTTTATTCTTATGATGTATTCCATATTACTTAATTGATTTTATGCGTGTAATATTTTACTGGATGAATAATTTTATGTGAAAAATAATTTATAAATAAAAAACTTTTTTAAACAAAACGTTTTTTAAACGCCCTAAAAAGTAGAAAATAATTTACAAATAATTTATAAATATGTTGAGAGAGTATAAATACTTGTACGATTTAAAACGAAAAACGTTGGGTGCATGCAATTAATTGATAATAATATATTAGTTCAGTAGGTGAAGGTAAACTATCTATTGCATGCACCCCACGTTTTTCGTTTTAAATCGTACAAGTATTTATACTCTCTCAACATATTTATAAATTATTTGTAAATTATTTTCTACTTTTAGGGTGTTTAAAAAACGTTTTGTTTAAAAAAGTTTTTTATTTATAAATTATTTTCTATTTTTTAGTTTTTTAATGCGTGAGGATGTTAAATCTATTTCAAGCATCTATATCAGATTAAGACAAAGGCATCTGAGAAATCTAAGGTTTATTTGAGTTTCTTTTCATATAATTATGTATTAGATTGAATGTATGGCCTACCTACTAACTATAAATATATCAATCTATTTAATTTATTGTTTACTTTATAGAACATTAAATAAATAACAATTTACATTATTAACAAAAATCTTTATATATGCAATCAGATTGTTTATCTATATTTTGAAATGTTTGTATAAAGAATCTCTTGGGAGCATAACCTGTACCTCTTAACCTCTGCTCTTTGAACTGTCAAATTTAAGTATTTACAGCTGACTTAAATTAATTGATATATTTATTTACATTTCTTTCAAAATGTAAACATGAAAAATTTGGAAGCCCATGGGGCGTAGCCCAAGGGAAATATGAAAATTAAATGACATAATATTGCATTGTCATGCATTTGTGAGCTATGTTTCAAATTTCAAGTCCCTAGCTTATCGGGAACATCGTCTAAAATTGATATCAAAATTTGTAGGAAAGCGAGCTAATGAAAACAAGCCCATGGGGCGTAGCCCGAAAGGAAATATGAAAATTAAATGATATAATATTGCAATGTCATCCATTTGTGAGCCATGTTTCAAATTTCAAGTCTCTAGTTCATCGGGAAGTATCAAAATTTGCAAGAAATCGATTTAATAAAAACAAGCCCATGGGGCGTAGCCCTAGGGAAATATGAAAATTAAATTGTATAATATTGCATTGTCTTCCATTTGTGAGATATGTTTCAAGTTTCAAGTCCCTAGCTCATCGGGAAGTTAGTCTAGAATCGGTTGCAAAATTTGTAGCGGACAAGAAAGTGACCTTGCTTAAAGATTATTTTGAAACACAGCAGCTCCAATATCACATTCGGTCACCTATTATACATTTTATGTTACAATTATAATAAATAATAGTTGCTGTAATATAATTAATAATATAATTGCTATTATATTGACATGCAAAACAGTGCAATCTGGCAATGTATATCGTTGTAATAATAATTGTGTTTCCGTATGAAACAAATAAATAAATACAAAAACGAACACACATTTTAATGGTGCCCTATTAAATTATTTTAAACTAAATGTATGAAGGTTCAAATAATACGCTTATTTATTGTGCAAACATTTATTTACTAGTATATACAAGTCTTATAGGTCTAATGTAAATTATGTAACAACAATGGATGAAGTTAAACCCATATAAAGTGTATTGAAAATAATGTATATCATTATGATACTTTTATTTGCTCCAAAGGTAAATTATTAGACATTAGACCGATATATAGACCGATGTTCGCTATCAATCAATTCAATTCATCAATTTAACTGAGGATGTTTTGAGTACTTCCGTTATTATGCAAATTGTTTTTTTTTTTTTTTTTTTTTTTTTTTTGCTAGAGACAGGCATATCGAGTGATTAGTATTCGAATTTTATTTTTTTGGTAGTAAAAATTAGTCTGGTATTTGATTTAAATATGGGACTGGTGGGTTTACCGCAGTATCGTAGTTCCATGAAGTAAATAGTGTAGCTTTATATTTGTAGCGACAATTTTAAATAAACTATGTTTGTTTTTTTCAGATGGAGATCACAACTTCGGGACAGATCCAAAACAATATTGGGATCACCCCCCTCTCTTCAACGAGGGCTGAAGATGCAGGGAGTTCAAGCGATGGTCGGAGCGTTACATACAGTTCTCCAACAAATCCAGAGACGTGTGCTCGTTCTCGCCCCTTCTCTCGACTCCAGTTCCTACAAACCACTTCCTCGAGCTCGGACAGAAAGACTGGCTCAAGTTCAGAAATCAGCATCTGCTCGTCACCAGAACGAAGTGACACCGATTTAGTAAACAAATCTCCACTTTTCAAAAAAAGGAGAAATTTCTGTCCGTTTTGCAGAAAGTTGGGGACAAATTTCAGTAGACATTTGATACGCTATCACAGTGACGAAGACGAGATGAAAGAGTACCTGGCCTTATCGGACGCATCCCCCCATAGAAGGAAAGTGCAACGAGCGTTGATAACGCAGAAAATACGTAATGCTGGAAATAACATATACAACAATGAAGTGGTCAACGGCAAGATTGTGGGTAAAATATTGCCCGTGAAACGGTCGTCCAATAGAAAATACTCGGCAAACAATTTGACCCACGTCGAGTGTAAACACTGTTTGGGAATGTTTAAAAAACAATCGCTGTACAGACACATAGCGAACTGTAAACAGTATTCACCAGACGAGTCGAGCAAGCAGAATGATACAAGGAAAGGGCGAAAAGATAGAAAACTGGCACAACACTCGTCACTCTTGGCAAGACACAATGCCAATTCGTCCGATCTATTGAAAAGGGATGTCTTTCCAAAAATGCAAAGGGACTCAGACACCCTATTCGCCCAAGGCGACAGAATCATTACCAGATACGGATCAAATTTGAGGTTCAATCACCGCACGGATAGACAGATTTATTACTGTTCCAGTAAGATGCGCACTCTAGCGCGGCTGTTCTACACCATGAAGAAGACTCTGCCTGAACTCAAGGAATTCCAGGACTGTTTGAATCCGAGATATTTCAATACCCTCGTAGACTCGGTTCGGAAGATGAGCGGATTCGACGCTGCCAGTGGAAACATGAAGACTCCAAGTGTTTCTCCGAGACTCTGTTCCGCACTGAAAAGCTGTGCGAATATTGTGAAATCGGATGCTATAAAAGATCCAGTTTTGACAGACCGACAGAAGGTGGAGATAATCGACCGGGCTGATAAATTCCTTTTTCTCATCGAAAAAGACTGGGCCACAGAGGTAGGTTCGATCAGTGAAAAGAGCCGGAAGCAATTGAGAGTGGTTAAAGAAAATTTACTACCCGATGAGGTGGATATTGTAACGTTCAGTGAGTACCTGGCCAAGTTATGTCCACATTACACACAAAGACTGAAAGAGATTCCGACTGTTGGAAACTACGAGAAACTTGCCAAACTAGTAATCGCCCATATAATCACACTGAACCGGCGCAGACCCAACGAAACAGTGGAAATCCCCCTGGAAGCTTACCAGACGACTCTCAACAGGGAGGTGAGCTACGGCCACGACGTCCAGAGCGTGGTGTCCGAGGAAGAGTTTAAAAACGGACAAGAGATGTCCATATTCTATATCCCGGGGAACAAGAATATTAAAAAGGTACCCACCCTGTTGAGAAAGATGTTTCACGAGGCTGTAGAAACACTTATAGAATCAAGGGAAAAGATCGGTATAACTAGCAAGTATCTCTTCGGACGGCTAGGTGATCCGGAGCTTTTTTCCGGTTCCGTAGTGTTGAAAGAGCTAGTGAAAAAGGTCAACTTGAAGAAACCATCACATTTCACAGCAAACTCACTTCGACATCACGCCGCCACTTCAAGTCAGTTACACCATAGAAATGACACATACACAAAAAGACTTTCACAGTTCATGGGGCATGATCTAAAGACACATGAACAATATTATGAGATGCCACTGCCACTTATACAACAATATGTGGTTGGTTCAAGACTTCTTGAGATGACTCTACCGACTCCGTCCACATCGGCAACCATCACCTCTGGAGCCCTCAATGGCGATTCTGGTCCAAGTGACGAGACCCCCGCCCCAAGACTTAGTCTGTCACCTGACATCATCACAGAGGAGTCGACTTCTTCATCAGCGACTGTCACATCGGGCTCTCTCACCTGCTCTTCAAGTACATGTGACGAAAATTCAGTCCCAGGGTTTAATTTTCCTTTCGTCATCAACGTCCCCACTGAAGTGCCGAAGTCTTCATCGGAGACCGTCACGTCAGGCTCTCTCGCCTGTTCTTCTAGTACGGACAAAAATCAATGGTTTAGTTTCCCTTTCGACATCGACACCCCCACCGATAAGACAAAGTCCTTGTCCGCAACCGTCACATCCGGCACGCCTTCAAGACTCGACACCGAAAGTGAGAACGCCAGTGGAACCCATAGCACACTCAACCAGACTCCGACCTCTGGATCCAACATTGAACCTGACACTGAACCGGCCAAAACGTCGGTCTCGTCTCCGCCACAAAGTATACAAATCCAAACTCCACCTCGTCCTGTTCAGAACACCCCTCGCCTCAGCCTAACACCTTCTCCACGATCGAATGCGAATGCGATATTGACGGCCGTTGTGGACCCATTGCAGAGCCAATCGCCCAGACAAAATAACGGAGCGAGTAAGCAGAGTTTTCCGGCGGAGTCTCCGAAAGTTAGACACACAAAAGTAAGGTGGTCTACAGCAGAGAAGAACGTCATTTACGAGAAGTTAGGACGTTATTTTATAACAGACGCAACGAGGCCGACACGGAATGACATCAAACTGATCTGGGAACACGAGGAAACGCTGAAGAATCGAACATTACAACAGGTCGTCACTTTTGTAAACAATATTCTAACCAAAAAACAGACCATTCCGACTTCTATAATGAGGAAAATCGAAAGTATGATATCAGAGGGTAGAGCACATCTAGACCTGTAAGCTGTTTAAGTATTTGTTATCGTTTGCTGTAATACAGCTGTAAATATTTGTAACATGTTTTCATATACCTATTGTCAGTTTTGTAATGTCTTGTAAAGTAAAGAAAGAAAATATGAAAAAATCAAGTTTATTCGTAGGGAGTTCTCCCTGCGAATAAACTTGATATTTTTTAAAAAATACAATATCAATACATCGGGATACCGATCCTGGAATTGGTAAAACTAGAAAATCGGGATCCCGAACGTACGAGGAATAACCAGTGGTTCATAGTTAAATGACATATTCGAGATCGGCCTCGGTGAATGTCGTGATTATGTATTATATGACAACTAGTAGGTCAATATATTATCCTAATGCAATAAAGAGTTATTTATTTACCCACTCGTCTATTTATATTACCAAGAATTGTATCGGGTTTCCGATACTTCTTAAGGTACAAAAAAAAAAAAAGGAAAACACATAATTTTATAATATCATTTATTCTATTATCTTATTTAAATAAAAATATATATATGTATAATATTGCGATATTCTCTAGACAAATGCGATATTTTTGACAACTTGACTTTTTACTGTTCAGACGTGTGTGGTTTACAAGGTTGTATTGTCATTATTGTAAGAGACGTTTCCTAGTCATGAATAAAGACAGAGAAGTCGTCGAACAACTACTGGATGTGTTGGATGAAAGCGGTGAGAAATTCATAGGACCCACCGTACATGTGGAAGCGAGGAGATGTAAATACCCAGGCGCCTGGGTCCATACACTTCGTCGCTACACGCAGTTAGCAAACGACCCCACCAACAAGTTGTCACTTTACGTACAGTTCTATCTAGACCTCTGTGTTACTATTCTGTGCAAGAGGATATTGACATCGGACTTGCATTTTATATCGTCAGGAGCTTTAGAAACTGACAATAGCCGGGAAACCACCGATATGATCATTATACACGAAATCATGTTCAAAGAGACGATTTCTCGCATGTTATCGTGCGTGTGCGAGTGTGTTCTAAAACGTCCGCCGGTGACCGGCGGCGTTGCTACTGAACAAACCGCCAAACTGTACGCAAGTATCGCTTCTCTGTTGAAAGAGCGGTTTTACAAAAACCCAGAGACCGGTAACTACCATGCGAGAAACGAAATTGACCTGGAAAAGACCGTTCACGACATTGTAGACAACTGGTTGATACACGAAGCGTTACCAAATATAATCTCAATATCAAAAACGGGAACGGACACCGCTATCCTCCCACAGTTGGTGAAAACTCGTGTACTCAGTGACGACCCGTCCTTTTTCGCGGTGGCCCACTGCTATTGGTTGTGGCTACACCTCACGGCGGCCGGCGTTCAAACCATGAAAACCGAAAACAACTTCCTGGCGCTGTTCTACGCTTTCGACCTTTTCATATTTTGCGATCACTGTTCGTCACATTTCGAACACCACAGGCCGGTATTTTACACCAGAGACCCGTATACGGGCTCTGTATCCACGACGTACACAGCGGCAGAGCTAGTTTTCAGCTTACACAATTGCGTAAACAAAACTACTCGCAAGGAAATTTTGCCGGCTGCCATCATTTCGGACTACAGAGCGTATTGGGAACGATGTAGTCTGTTGGACGCTGGTTATTGAACTACAAAAAGAAAAAAAAACACATTTTATGTACCCAAGAAAATCGATAATTTATTCACATTAAACAAAACAGAACAGTACACAATACAGGATCATTCGGACAGTATAATTCCTTTGATCGACGAGGTCCTCTTAAATCTGGAAACGGCCACGTAGATGTCGTTGATTTTGGTCGACAGCAGGTCGACAAAACAGTCCGACACTATAGTGTTACCCTGCATCTGGTATATGTTTTCGCACACCATCGGCACTAGAGGTAGCATGTATGCCATTTGTTGTTGGAAGTCATCAGTCGCAGTGTAGAGTCTGTTTTGTGTCATACCCGGGCTCACGAACAAAAAATGGTCTGTCTGTCTCTGTAACGTCTTCAGGTAGACACCGTCGAGAGACCCGTCGCGGTCGTTGAACCGAATGCCAGTCAAAAGCACCAGTTCGCCGTTGCTGACCACAGGTGTGTTCGTAGATGTCGATTTCAACGTTTTCGTCATTCTGTATGGCACACCGACCACCAGGGTCTGTTGAACGGGACTGTTGTCGGTGACCGGTATGGAAACGCAAAGTCTGTTCAAGAACCTCTCGACACTGGAAAACTCGGCATCACGTTGTCGTACAGTCGGTGACATTTTCATTCGCTTCGGTTCACATTCCTCGTCGGTGCGGTCGCCCTGAGGCGGTTTCTGGTACCTCTTTCTTAACTCCATATGGACTCCGTTGTACAGTGTTTTTAGGAAGGTGTCCGAAAGTATGTTGCACTTGTTGTTTTTTTTCACCATGAAAACGGGGTACGAGTTTTCTGCGAACGCCGAAGCTTTCGCATACACGTACTTTAGTAGTGTATCTCCCCCCTCGGTCCGGTTATGTGCATCGAAAATCTCTCCGTACATGTCGGTGTAGAACTTGATGAAAGGAGACATGTCCACGATGGGCGGGTCGGTCCAATCTGTCTGCACGGCAATCGTGTCACGGTCGTCGCCGTCGCCCAGGTGTCGGTCCTCACTCTCTATTTCGGTGGCGCAGGCGTCTTCGTCTGTAGGATCCTCTTTGGTTTCGTGCGGACTGGTAATAGCGCTCGGATCGAACACCAATCGACCCGCCTTGCAGGCTTGGCCAAACTTGGCACAGCGGTACAAACGGATGGCGCGGGATCGTCCGAACGCCACCATCCTGCGTTCCACCGCCTTGACGGACGTGTCGTTCTGGCAGGCGGTTCTCAGATAAACCACCATTCTCGCCAACCTTGAATCGTCACGGCAACGTTGCGATCCCACCATATGGTATTCAAAAGGCTCTTGTCGCATCCGTTTGTTCAGTTCCCCCCTGACATCTGACACGTAGTAGCAGTTGTCTGTAGTCGCCGCGCCGAAAGGCGCCACCTCACCGCACTTGTCCGCGTAGTTCTTGTCACTGCACTCGTCCCAGTTGATCGGGCCGAGTTGGAATCGGTCACCACCCATGATCAGCACCGTCGGCGCAGAGAACAGGAGTTCGACACAGTGCAGCATCTTGTGCAAAAGCGGTGGCGATATCATGGTGTACTCGTCCAGCAACACCACAACATTCCTGTCGCCGTTCTTGATCCTGTCGGCCGCGAACAACGTATCCGGTATGTTCATTTTCCACTGTAGCGCCTTCCTGGTGTTCGTTTCACGCGCCTCGTCACGTCCACAGACATTGTACACAAGTTTCTCTACCGAACACGCGTAGCGACCACCGACGGAACGCGAAACCATCCAGAAGTCGTTGGAATAACAACACTTCGACATGTCCGTGACCGGCCGTGGTCGGACCGGTTCACCTTTGTCCAACTCGTTGTACAGAAAGTCCTGTAGTCGTTTGTTCTGTTTTGTCACGTACAACACGTGAGTGTTTTCCGGCGAATGGTTCATGACGTAAGCCATGAGACGAGTCTTGCCGCACCCGCCGAGACCTTCCACGATGACAGATCGGAAGAACTTGCCGTCTTTCCGGTACGCGTCCACTTCTTTTTCCACAGTTTCTACAAAGTCCCGTTGTTGGTCGGACAGAGTGCTCCATATTGGTTCGCATCTGTGAGCCAGTACGAACGGCGCAGGCCCCACCACCGTGTTCGGTTCCGTGTTCTCATTAAAGTCACACTGATGGTACAGATCCATACCGTCGCCGTCACTGTCGTAGGGGTCTGTCTCACCGGTGGCGTGTTGAAATTCGACTGCAACGTTGGGGACGTTCAAACTCGGATGCGGTTTCGGTGGTACGAAAGTCGTCACCGACGAATCGAACGGCTCTCCGTCGGATCTGCAGAAACGATATCCTTCTACCATCAGGTCGTACATGGCTTCGTCCGATGTCATGATTGCGATCTATCTGACTGAAATCGGTACGCGTGTCTGTCCTTGTAGGTCGGCCACTTGTCGAGACGAGTTAAACGACAGCAAAGTTCGATACTAAGGAAAAATTTTAAAACATGAGGAAGGGGGGGGGGGAAGGGATAGAGATTTTATTACAATCACATAGAATTTGGAAGAATACACTGCGCGACTAGCACGCTAAAACCCGTCAACAGACACGGGCCGATTCCACCATCGCTTGCCACGATCCCTTCAGACACCACCTGTCGGGCTCTCATCTCCTGCCTTCGTGCCTCCTCACAACGGGGGAACATATTACCGAGTACCTGTTTGAACGACAAAGGTCTACCCGACCCGGTGTCAACTTCCCAATACCAATTGTTCTTCACGAAGTACCCCTTCTGGTCACGGGTTAAGACGGCGTCGTAGCCGTCATCCGACATGCCCGGCCAGCGTTTGGCAATACGACCCATGTATTCCGCCCTCGCCCTCGGAGCGAGACCCAGTTTCCAATAGTGTCTTCCGGAAACGACGTACGTTTCTCCGGCTCGCCAACCGAACACGGTGTCCACGGGTGTGCGGGAAAAGATGCCGAGATCAGAACTCAAGGTGGCGCGCCGGCGGAGGAGCTCGTAGGGGTACAGTTGGTATTCAAACAGCTCGTTATCGACTATTATCAACATCGCTTTCGTGTAAACGTCGAAATGAATGGCCCGCGCTGGCCTGTCTTTTGGAATATCTCGGAAATGGTCCGACAGTGTCTCTTCACCCACGTAATGGCTGCCGTACCAACGTCTGACCTTTCCGCGTTTCAAGACGAAAAGCTCACCACCGATGTAAGTCATATCGTCGTACGGCCCGTACGAATTGACACAAACATGTTGGACCGTCTCCGACCCAGTTCCCTTCCCGGCAGGTTCACTAATACCGTCACCTGCGACATACTGGGGTCTGTATAAATCATAGAAATTAGCCACGTCTTCCACAGGTAGGTGGGGTGTGTCTCTGTCCACGGCCACCGTCGAATACCAGGGAAACATAACGGAGTGGGGGTTGTCGCTGTGGTGCAGCCCGACGGCGTGCCCGATCTCGTGTACAGCGACGTGAAAAAGACTGACACCACCGTCGCCAGTCCCATCTGTCCATGTTTCGTCCGAGTCGAAGTGGATGTCGCTGTCGTTTTCGTCAGCGTCGTGAGGGTAAAACGCGTGCGCTAACACACCGCCCTCACCATCGAAACTGTACCCGCAACCGTGGTCCCGTCGAGCGAACACCACGCGTATCAGGCACTCGCCGGTGGCCGCCTGCACGAACGAAGCGCCCGTTCCGACGGACCAGGTTCGGAAAGCCTTCTGTAGTTCAGACGATACGTTTGTCCGTGATGGCCGACGCGATCTGTACTGATCCCAACACCAGGTTATGCGCCCGATGTCGATCTTTCCGCGGACGGCCGGGGATCGTCCCACACGCCGCCCATCGGTTTCCATAACGTCGGGTAGCCCACACCTCGGTGACCGCATGACGCGCTGAGTCGCCTCGTCTAACGTGCCGGTCACGTTTATATCCGCGAACGCCTGCAATTTCGATAAAGCCTCTTCAGCAAAGTTCAAACGCATGTCCGAACGACCGCCACTACCGTTAAGGTAGCCGTATCGGCGCAGATAATCCATCACTTTACGTTGCACTTGTTGATCTTGTGTTTCTCGTGATGTTGCTGGTTTCAGCAACAGGTCAGCGGCCGAACGCAAAATTGAGCCGAGATGATCCATCACTTCAAGTTGATCTTGTGTTTCTCGTGAAACCGGCAACGGGTTAACGGCCGAAAACAAAAACGCGCCGGTTAAAACGACGAAAAATGATCCGGTGACCATGATCACGACAGTGCTGAACACTACTTATATAAGCAATGCGATGTCTTTCTTCGATCCTGACACTATATACCCCCCCGGACGTTTGGAAACGGCCGATCGACCACCGATGAGGGTCGACGTGATAAAAGCCACCGACTCCAACAGAGGGTTTCGCCTGTTCGACAACACCGTGTTTGTTGTGCGCGACGTGGCCTCGGAAGAACTGTTTCTTGAGCGTATCCGCATGGCACGCGCCGTGTTCCAAACGGTGGTGGCACCGCACATGGACAGTTCCGTATTCGAGCTGGCGAGAAAGCTGGTGCTCGCTACGAAAATCTGCCTGTCACGATATTTCAACGCGCAATCATTGGCCAGAACCGACAGACCTTTCGTCGTCAAGGCCGAGTACAGGGACTCGCCGACGTTGTTTTGCGCTCGCTCGGACCTTTTGCGTGCCTACCTTTATACTCGAACCACGGGTGACCATCTTTTTGACGACCGGCCACACGATCAAACCGGCGAGCGAGATTTCGACACCGTAATGCGCGGCATCAACCGTGACCGCGATCCTGGCGCGCCGTTGACGGACAGGGAAATGGCGATGGAATACTGTCGCGTCAGATGGCAGTTGGGTGCCTTGCAGGCGAGATACATGATGGAGGGTGGCCCCGCCTCGGACGTCGCCCACATGAATCCGGACGCCGTTGGCGCGGTCGACGCTCCGCTACAGTCTCACAGGTCGGAGGCCATTCTCTACATCGTGGCGGACACCACGGCGCTGGCCGAATTCTTGACCTACATGTTCTACATGACGCCGGTGGATTTGAAAAGGCGTTACGAGGTGAAAACCGGTTGTATGACGTCATCGGTCACCGGTGCCGACAGTAAACTCACGCGGCAGGCGAGGACCTGCTGTCAAGAACAGTCCTCCCGTCACAACTCCACGGACGCGGTGCGTCGGGCCATACAGGAGTTTTTGCAGAAACGAGACGCGACTAACGACATCAGAAGAAGAGACGAAACAATCGAAACGTCATCTTATGCCGGACACAACCCCGAGTTCGCTGAATTCCTGCAGAGGGAACAACACGGCGAGAGGGCGTCCCGCCTGCGCCGTCGGAATGACACGTTGGTCGAGAATCTTTTGTTGTTGCTTTTCGACAAATCCCTGTCAACAATACTGGACAACGGATTCGACAACGCCAACAAGAAACGCAGATATGGCACAAACGCCAAGACAATCGGAGGAGCGACAGTTTACACCGGAATACTGGACACAGTCGGCAAGGTCGTGTTGAGGTACAGAGAGGGCGTTTCGCTGACGCGCAACACCACGAGGAAGGCTGACATATCGAAGAGAAAACCAACCACTTAGGTGTACACCGTCGACTTCAGCACCACCCAGTCTCTAAAGCACCCCCCCTTCCTCCTCCTCCTCCTCAGTACACCATGTACAAAGGGCTTAAAGCGGACGAAGGACAGAATGAAAGGCCCATGAAAACCGGCAGACCGGTCATCAAGTTCACCGCCAAGGAGGTGAAAACACTGTTAAAGAAAAAACCACGTGCCAACAACAATGCTCGGGGGAAACGAGAACAACAGTCCGGTGGATTGTCAGCTGTGGCCGAATCGAAAATAAAGAACTTCTGCACACTGGTTCAGGTCGGAGAGTTGGAAAGAGCCCGGCTTGCGGAGTACGTCGCGGCTCTTGACCCGCGATGCAACGGCATAGAATTGAACGCGTGGTCCACATCACAGTTAGCACCCAAAAACGTGATACGCACCGTGTCTCCGCTCTCGAAAGAAGCGAAAAAACAGAGAGGTAAAAAAAAGAAAGACCAAGAACAATCGATCCTGTACTGGATCATGACGTTCGTTTTGAACACGGAAGGAGGAAAAAAGAACGGGAACACAATCAAGAAGATGGACACCGTGATACTGCCTACGCCCCCGATCCCTGACGACCAGTCGGGGAGAAGGCTGTTGGCCGAATACACGTTACTGAGACTCTGGTTGATCGTGCGCTACGTATTCACAACAGTCAGGACGGCGGTGGCAGAGGACCCTAACACTCTGGTTCCGATTTTCGTCGTAAAATCGGACGGGAATTCGGCAGTGGGAAAAGCTATGCGAGAAGAGCTCCACAGCTCTCAGCGGAGGGAGGTAAAAAATCTGAAGACCGTCTATCGGTGTTGCTTTGTGTGGAACTGATATTTTTCTCCACCCTGTTAGGTTTTTAATTTCAAAATGTGCAAATAAACTATGTATTCACACGAATTGACATTTTCTCTTGTGACAAACGTCACATTCACCAGTGTAGTACGTCCTGTTGTTGGAAGAGGTTTTCAAAACCGCGTCGTTGGTTTTAGTTTTTCTCCTGCAGAATATACAATATATGTTTGAGGGTCTACCGGCTGTTCGGCCCGATGATCTAACTTTTCGAGGTGGTGATGACGCGCGAGCACCCCGCCGGTTTCGACCGGGTGACGGTTCCCTGTTTTTCCCTTTTCGCACCGACACCGGTGACCGTCCTCTCGGCCTGTGAGGCGGTGTTCGCGGTGGTGGTGGGGGTGGTGGCCGGTTTGGTGATTCGTTTTCCACCATGTTCCGCAGAGTCTTCCTTATACGTTTCAGTTGGTGCAGAGACATCGCTGTTGAGGATTTCTAAAAAATAACCGCGTGTGACTGGGGATGGGGTATTTCACTTATAACATTTCTCGTTGTAACCCCCCTCGCTGAACAGCCCAACGGTGGCTGGTGCGGGCTGTTGGATACCACGAGTTTTATCCAAATCTGGAAAAGTGTTTTATTCACAGTATACATACTGTTTACCTGCATTATTGTTAACACAGGCCTTTTATGTAGGACGAATTGATATTATATTTCAAAAAATACCAATTACTGTATCATGATAATGCAACATTTGTTCCCTTAAATGCGACTGCGGTACAGTCGACGACGGTTAAAGAAGATTAGAAGACGTCAGTTCAAATTATTCAAACTAATGATAAAAGTAAGAACCGGGCCGAGTCCTGGGCAATTCCGTAGTCTGTTTCGGTGGCGTCGCTTAGCTCGTTTTTAACAGAAAAGCGTTGTGTGTTAAGACCGAAACATGGACGTGCAGCAAAAAGCGTGCCGACCTTTTTATTTGACCATGTCCGTCGGCGTTCTGTTTCTGATGGCCTACATCGTATACAGAGGTATGGAACACTCTATCAGGTTAAAAGTCCTGAGCGAAATACTGAACAACGCGGAGACGAATATGAAATGTTCACCCGCGCCAGAGCCGGCCTGCAAACACTCGACAGACGACGGTGTCAGTGACACGAAAACGCCAGTCATCACACCGCCTCGGCCAGATGGTGAAGGGGTTGTGAAATCCGCAGACGGCCGTACCGCCAGGCTGTATCCCGAGATACCGACCGATGCGATCGCATCGGCACCTCCGCTCGACACGATCGCCGCCACAGAGTTTCGGCGTTATTCGGGTGGCGACTCGATAAACCCGGTCGTTTACTACCCACCCCCACCGCCTTACGAGTCCGTCACCGAAGAAGCGCGCAAACGGGTCACCTCACTTGGCCCTGTTAACGATTTGGAATGGCACCAGGTGTTCAACGCGTTCAACGAAAAACGAATGTTCATGTCTTTACAGTGGACACCACCGCCGGCTTTCGGACGTCCCTGGCGCAATTGCCTCGGAGATATCGACAAGTTCCTGAACTCACCCTCGCACCCGGTCGACGCACGGTGCATTTTCAAATTCCTAAAATCTTTCACCGCCCTCACGAACTGCATTTACGCGGAAGCGACGGCCGGTAATCGTATAAATGTCATCGACCAGACGCGTCCGGTGGGTCCGGACTCAAACGACGACGGCATTGGTGACGCGGCGTCTAGGGGAGGTAGTATCGCGCGACACGAGGTGTTTTTAAAGTCGTTCCGACTGCTCTTGGCCGAATACGCGCCCAAACAGCCCATCGTGGACCGCCGGGTCCCATTCGGCTACGATTGGTTCATATTTTCCGGCCGCATGACGTACGCCGTGATCAACGCACACGTCACACTGTGCTCAGCGGTCGATAACACGCCGTCCGTCCGCCCTTATTACTCGGACTTAATGGGTGTCGACACACGGGCGGTCGTTATCGCGTTGAAGAACATCTGCAAGAACTTCACGGAATCGTTGGGCTACGAGCGGTACAGTTCCAACCGCGTCTTCATCGGGACGGCTTTTCTGTACGCGAGTCTCGTGGAAGAGGCCTGCGCCAGTCTGTCGACAGGCGGTGGCGGCGGCACGATGCCGGACTACAAGGTGACGCTGGAAAAGATTGTGACCGATCCGGCCAACCGATTCGACACTTTCGAAACGCTATTCGACGAAATAGGAAAGACGGAAATACCGCCGGCCGGTGAGAACGTTTCCACCGGTAGAAACCTACCTCCGGGAAGTGACAGAAGCGTCGTGACCTACGACGGCGTTTACGACGACAGGACATTCATCGCCCACCGCAGATTGCGCATGTACGCGTACATACATTCATACTGCGAACAACTGCCTTCCGTCCAACTGCTGTTGCGTGACAAACGCGTGGACGACGAGAGGATATCCGCCCTCCTGCGCACGGTGGAGCCGATGAGTGACGAGGAGTCACTCTACTACTTCAACCTGCACTCACGAGCCGGCGCGTTCAAGTACAGAAACGGTTCGGCCCTGTTCGCCGCACTCGGTCTGTCCGGATACAAGAACCGCGAGATCGACGCGCGCGGACGGGTTTTCGTGGCCGACGGCGCACGAATACTGTTCGTGCAGAGCGTAGCGTTCACCTTCCACGCGATCGGCCAACTGAGCGATCTGGCCTACGGCGAGGTGGAGACTTCCAACCGCGACCTGATGCCCGCCTGGTTGATGGGTCTGC